TAATTTAATCCTCGTAGTCATCACTGCGCATGTGTGATAAAATAATTACATTAGAATGGAAAAAATACTAAAATTATAACGTTTTTATCTTAATTTCTATTTATTACAAATAATATACCTGATATACACATGCGTAGTGTTCGGAAAGTCATATAAACAAGATTAAATAAAAGGAACTTGCATAGAGGGCAACGACCAGTCCGAAGGTGAATTTCGAAGAGGACAGTACTCCGATCATATAATTCGAGCTTTTAAACATCAATACACATTCTCATTGATTAATTATTAATTATTTTAATATTCAAGTACACTTTTCGTATATTATAGGATAATTTAACCCTCGAAGTCATAACTGCGCAAGTGTGATACAAGAATTTCAATAGAATACAACAAAAGAAATATTCTTATCGTTATAATCTTAAATTTAATTTATTAAAAGGGTTATTAACATTATACACATGCAATATTTTAATATATTTCACATTATATTACTTGATTTATTTTTTAGAAATTTTAATTATAAATATTCTTTTGGCTATTTTTAACGTGCAGGGCAGTGATAATATAATTTTATTCTTTTTACAAATTATCATCGTTGGATTAAGAAGAAACCTTTTTTAATTTTTTTCTATTTAAACATCTCAAATGGCTACTTTTTAAAATATATTTTTAAATGCATTTCCCTAATGACACACACACACGAGTTTATACATTAAATATTAAATATAATTATTTCAAATTTTATTGCAAGGAAACTATACTATAAACATTATCACATTCTATCAAAGATTACTTTATTGTTTGATGGTAATGTTATCAAACTGCGCGCCTGTATGAATGCAACCTTCCAGACACACTTTGAAAATGTTGTTTGCAAGCATTATCTTTCGGGACGGAATTTTTTGTCTACCTGAAAGATAGGCAAACCGTCATACAAACGTGTATAAACAGTTTTGACTGGAAAAAAATTTCGTCCCAGTAGATGGCGCTCGCAAGCAACATTTTCAAAGTGTGTCTGGGAGGGTTGCATACGAACAGGCGCGCATTTTTATATAATAATTTAATTAATAATTAATTAATTAATTACAAATTAAAAGTACAAATAATAATATAATAATATTATATAATAAATTATCCTCGAAACTTGTTTATTTGAAGGTTTCACTTCTAACTTGTGTGATATGCACACATGTTTTTTCAATTTATTTTTTCCATTCATACTTCATAATAAATCCTTATTGTCTAAATCGAATAATACACATATTATTATACATACATATTTATGTGTACAATTATTTGTTATACAATGTTCATAAAATAAATTAAATATTTTTCGACCTATAAAAGTTTATTTTAATAACAAAAAGAAAAAAAATATTTAATGTAATTTAGTAACATACTTTTCATAAATTCCCTCGTAAATGAAAATAGTAAATGAATAGAGCGGCGTGTTATTGGAAAAGCTGAGTTGCTAGCGCTACGACGGCCATATCGATAAAATAAGTGCCGTATAGTCAATATTTAGGCGCCCCCTTTAATCGAGTAAGGTATATATGTATGCTTGAATGATAGTGTTCGGCTGGAATGATATAAAAATTCTTGAAAACTTGTGTTCTTATCTTTCAAAGGTGCTTGACACGTGGCAAAAAGAAAATTAGATATCTCAACGTTTATAATTTGAGTCATCATTAAATAGGAATATTAAATAGAAAGAAAGCAGATATAGTTAAAATTAATAGACAGTGAAGAGGGAGCAGTGAAACGCGTGATAACGTCACTGCGCCACGATTACTGCCACGATGGCCGAGGAGGCAGAGACAAACGATAAAGCAACGATGGAAACTATAGCTCAGAATATTCTTGAGGTGCGTGATAATAAATAATATTCTTTAGTCTGTGACTGTGTGTGTGTTAAACGATTAAGTGTTAATTATAACAGTCAATATAAAGTTTGGAATTTTAATGTAAAACATATATGTTCTACACGCGGTTTATTTATCCGCTATAATTTTGACAGGTCAGTAGTGGAGGCGGGTCCACGACAAACGATGTAAGTACGCTTGAATTTCAAGCTTCTCAAGTAATTTCTCGTCTTGAGGAAGCCGTTGAAAGGGCTGCCGATGGTGGTGGTTCAACTTGGAACAATACCTCCGGTTTTCTTTCCCGTCCTAAAAGTCTCGAAGAAATATTAAGTTTGATACAGGTAATATATACTCGAAACGGGGATGCCATTACTTTTACGCGATTGGTTAAACTCAGATACGCAAGAATATGATTGGTCACAAATACTTAGGCTTGTCTTCTTATTGGTTATCTCCGTTGCGTATTCTCACTATTAAGAATTTTATGCTGGAAATTTATATTGGAGGCAATTTTGAATATTTTGACAATTTTATTTTTCAATTGAATTTTATTAATATTTATGTATACTCTTTAGTATACATGATATGTTATATTTACAAGCTTTAATCATTCTCTTTCTCAGAATTTAATTTTTGATCTAATTTTATCTTATGTTTTATGTACAAAATATTTGTTCTTTTCTTTCACAGGATTTGATTATCCACGAAGATGCACCGCAAACAAATGAAGATGATACAGGAGAACAAGCAAATAGTCAAATTACTAATTTACCTACTTTAACAGAAACAGCAAAATTGGCTTTAATAGCGCATACTATCTCTGCATATGCAGTTGCACTTCCAAGATCTCATGCTCAAAGATTAGCTGGTCGTTTAGCAGCAGACACAACAAGATGGCTTAGTCATATTTTTCGATTTATGGACTGTGCTTCTTCGTTTCATGAAGATCACTTAGAAGGATTGGTTAGAGTAACTAGACTAGCTCTACATCGTAAATATCCAAGATATATGGAAGAAGGATTTACAACACTTGCTTCATCTTCACCTCTTATTTATAGTTCAGTAGCTGCCCCTTTAGCTGTTGTTCAACATTTATGTAGACAGGTGTGCATACATTTTGATATTATCTAACACATGAGTAATATTTTTAAGATACTTTAATATTATAAAAATATGCGATTCTTCATTTGAATTTCTTCAATTACAGCTTTCTTTACCACTTCATTGTATAAGACCCATTCCTCATAACACTATGTTTGGGTCACGTTATAGTATGGATGTTGCTGCATTAGAACGACGTTTAGCAGAAGATACACAATCTAATAATGTAACACCGCTATTAGTTTTGGCAGAAGCAGGATCTGTATTAACAGGACATTGTGATAATATTGTACGATTACGCGCAATTTGTGATAAATATAATGTTTGGCTTCATTTGAGAGGTCATTCCTTAGCAGCATTAACGTTGAATAATTCTACAAGAGATCTGGTAATTAAATGAATATTTATTATACATTAATTTATGAATGGTGATGTATTATGTATACTTTTTGTTCTAGCCTTCAAAGATTGCAGATAGTATTACTTTACCATTAGGTGTATGGCTTGGTATACCATCATTACCAGTTGTTGTATCCTTTTAAATATTGGATTCCTAATAAACAACTGTTATCTAAGTAAAAGAACAATTTGTAACAGGTAATGATAATTGTTTTCTTAACTATTATTGAGTAGACATTATATAGATTAACAGATACAAAAGGTGGAAGACCCACTACACGAGACACAACATTATCCCTTATGTCTGGCTTAATGGCAGATTCATTGTCAAGAAAATTACCAACATTACCTTTGTGGTGTACTTTACAAGCTTTAGGTAGAGATGGTGTACAGAATAGGTTTAAACAATGTTTTTTAGCAATTGAAGAATTGTATAATAAAATTAAGAAATTCAGCTGTATCAGTTTATTGGTATGTTATTACACATATATACATTTATTAAAATAAGTTAAGACACAACAATTTTCTAAATCTAATATAATATTAATAAAATTATTTTTCAGAGTCAAATACCTGGTAGTGAATCAGGAACATATACAATAAATGATCTTCTGACGAATCCTGTTAGCAGTTCACAAATATTTGAAGTTGTTTCAAGTGCATTAGTCTTTCAGTTTGTACCAGCAGATCGTGATCCTCAGACAATAGAACGTGTACCTCCTTATTACGATAAATTAAATTCTTGGTTGGGACAAATCTTACAAAGGGACATAGAAAATGTACAAATAGAACTTTGTGAAATTGAACATCACGGTGTAGCTATTCGTATTTGTCCTTTGGAAAGTCCTGAACAGCCACCGACTTCTGAAGATATAGATAATGTAGTTGCATGTTTGGAGCAACAAATAGTAAGATTAATTAATTTGATTACAATAAAAATATTTATTAATATACCTTTTTTTTTATATATATATAAGAAAATCATTATATTTTATTATTAGGAAATCTTATTGGCTACTGTAGAACATAAAGACACTTTCGTCCGTTTGGTTTCTGAAAATGATTCACTACACTTGGTAGAAATGCCAGGTTGGGCAGGATTGGGTGGTGTTAGATATGCTCCTCCAACTTGGATCCATGTAATGACAGATCAAGCTAAAGAGGAATTAAATAAATTAAATACACAATTGGTAGAAGCTTTACGTAGTACAGATGCTGCTTTTTCTCTTGGTGAAGGAGCAGATGGATTAGCTTGTGTGCGATTTGGCATGGTTACACAAGATACAGGTTCTTTTCTTATAAGTATCCGTTGTTTAATTAGATAATGTAAATAATTATAGTTTTATATTACATTATGACGTATATTGTGGTTTGTAGATGTGGCAGAATTATTGTCTTTGGTCCTTCAAGTAGGACAAGAGGTGGAAGCTAGTTCTAAATTATTGGATACTATATCAGAAGTGGTTAAAAGGGGTATTGAAGCAGCACAAACAGATTTAGAAAAAGAAAATGCTGAAAAACTTTGGCAAGAGGGAATTTTAAGGCATGTGCCTGTAGTAGGAACATTAGTCAATTGGTGGAGTCCTCCTTCCAAAGAAACTGGAGTGCGTGGACGTAGCTTAAATTTACAAGCTGGTATAAATTAATACATTTTAGTTTAATTTAACTATTTTATATTGTTACCAATTGCTATGTTATAATATATATTTTTCTCTTCTTTTGAATAGGAGTTGTTGAGAGCACAGAAAATATTTATAAATATCATATGCAATTACAACCAAATGCAACCAATAGCAATGGTTCTGGAGCAAGAACACCACCTCAACCACTTGTAAAAACACCTGTTGGTGCTGGAAGCCAAAGTCATAGTCGATCATCCAGTCATTCCAGTCTTCAAAGTGGTAAAAGTATTCCGGTTATAACGAATACTATTTGTCATCCTCAAGTTAAAGAAGAATCTAGTGAAGTTAAATCGTAGTAAATATTAAACACATTACACACACACACACACATTATGAATATAAACAAATGAGATTTCTTTCTTCAAATAATAAGAAAAAATGGACTTGACAGGTAAGCAATGAATTTATAAAAATTATGTAAAATATTTCCATCAAAAGGTGCATTAAAATATTTATAGAGTGAAGTATTAATTCAAAAAAATTTGTATATTAAAGAGCTTGTTAATTATATCTTTAAGTAAAAAGATTGCTTATTGCCTTCGTAAGCAATATTATAAAAGTTATGAATCATTTTATATTTCTAAAGTGTCGAATTTCTTATTTCATATAAAAAAAAAAAAAAAGAACACTTTTATCTCATAGAAATGTTCTCATTGTGAATCTATAATTCTATTTTAAATTATTCTTATAGCCGTGTACTTATTAAACGTATCAAATTATTTCCTTATTAAATTAATTATGTGGTAATACATTTTTTTTTTTTTTTTTTTTTCTTTATAATGGAGGAAACATTACATTATTTTCCCAATATAGAATTAATTGAAATAAACTTGATGGATAATAAACAAAGAGGTACATTTAAGACAAATATAATGTTATAGTAGATATTTAATTAACTTTCTTTTAACCAGGCAATGCATTTTTTATAATAAAATTAGTTATTTTCCTTGTTTGATCAAATTATAATATTTTTTTAATATCAATCAATTTGTTCTTATTCATCATGTTAATATTAAAACGAAGAGTGTAATGATTTTTTAATTTTTTTTTTTGAATATTAATAAGTGCCGTATACTTTGTAATCTCTATGTAAAAATTGTTTCCTTTTTATTATTAATATTTTTATTTTATTTTATTTTATTTTATTTGTTTTATGTGAAGAAATGAGAAAAGGAAATGCATTATTAAGTTTTATAAGAACATTCAAGAAATAATAATAAAAAAAAAAAAAAAAAAAAAAAACCACCAAAGACATTAGAGATACAGTGAAGCAAGCTACTAAAAATTTTGAAAATGTTGCTAAATTAAATAACATTTAATCACGCATAAAATGGAATTTGTATGAAATTCCGGTGCAATTATTGAAGTAAAATGTTTTCATTAATAAAATAATCGTACATTTGTTGACGGATATAAATAAAATGAAAATAAATTAAGCTATATGTATATTTATGTACCAAACAGTTGTAATAAAGTATTGCTACTAAATAAATATTAAAATACATAAATAGTATAAAAATATTATAAAAATAATCTTGTGTATGAGGAATTTTGTTTGAAAAAAACAAAAAACAAAACAAATTATATGTCTTATTTATATTTTTTATTTCTCTTTTCACAATATTCGCATACCATTACAATTAGGAGGAATTAAATCTGGCATATGGCAATTACACACGATTGTAACTCACAGAAATGTCATCCAGTGACAGATTTCGGCGGCTTATGCCCTTTGAAATAATTTTTTCCCTTTATTACAAAAAAAAAAAAAAAAAAAAAAGAGAAACACATTTATTGAAATAATCTTAACTTATAATAAATTTCTTTTCAATAGCCTCTACATACTTTGTAAATATGTAATATCTCTTTCGCGCGATGAGAGAAAAAACATAAAATATGTTTACATATGTGTATATATATCTATATAACTTACTCTCTTAAAAATTAGTATCGTAATGCTTTAAGATTCTATTATAACAATGTCGTTTATGGAAAAAACTAAAAGTTCACCATTTCGTGATCGACAAGCATCATGTGCATATACATATGTATATGCATTTCAAAAACGTTGTAGAAAAAACGAAGATATTAATGTGTAACATATTTCAAGAAATATATATTACCATAATTAATTAGCTTATTAAGAAAAATCATTAGAGCGCTTTAAATCATACAATATCAGTCTTTCAGGGTGCACAAAAGCTTAGGTCGTTCAGAATTCAAGTAAAAGATGATAAGTGATATTATATTATCACATGTTCGTGCTTTTAATCGATGTGTAATACATTTTATTTCCTTGATCGATGACATTTCCTTCTTTTATTTTTCGATTTTTAATCATTATTCTGGTAGGTCTTTATTTTTTTTTTTTTAGGCTCAAACAATGCACCAATTTAAAATGGATATTTCTTTGTGTCCTATAATTATACTACTTCCACTATCAATCCTTTTGAAAATAATTAATTCCCTTTATTTCTCTCTCTCTCTCTTTCTCGCCCTTCATATCCCTTCATACACACAATTTCAGCTTTTTCTAATCTTTCTATTATTTCACTTGTGTACCATCCAGTCAATTGTTTTATACATACTTATATAAAAACGATGCGGGAATTAAATGCAGTTATACTTATTAGAAAAAATGCTTCTTAACTCTTTCTCTCTATCTATCTCTCTCTCTCTCTCTCTCGGAATTTGTTTACGGTACAAATTGACAAACGATTAGAATAAAAGTTTCATCAACAATCGTCTAGACTACATACGTACGACTCTCGCATATTTAGAATTTAATATTTTTTATTTTTTACTAGTTCCACTCATCAACTATATAAATAGTCAATGCTATTGTTTAATAATTAATTCATACAGACGCAACAAACTTGTATGCACAATATTATTTGTTATCAGACCAATTCAATGATTTTCTCATTTTGTCGAGTTTGTCAAACTTTTTCAACATTTTTTCAAGCTCCTTTTATTTTATTTTATTTTATTTTATTTTATTTTATTTTTTTTTAATTACTTTTTTTCCCATTCCTGTGAACAATTCAGAAAAATATTCTTTAACGTGTTATTATTTGTTATTCACGCTTTTGGACTGTGTTTAGATATTCGCTTTTTTTAAAGTAAACGTATTACAATGTTTTTTTTTTTTTTTTTTTTTTTTAATTTCATTTTTTGTTAACTTGGACAATTCTGTGTATTATTTGTTCCCGTTTGCGCGTGTTGCAGCAGTCTTCAACGACAGAGACGAATTTTCATTCTCCAAGTTCTTCGCTATACTTAAAATTATTGTGCTCAGTGTTCTTCGATATCGTCCGAGTTTTTTTCTTTTTTTTCATCATTTATTTATAACAATAGTCATTTAATAGATCCCATATTTTTTCTCTTTTTTTTTTTTTATTCAAAGTCATCTTGTGTATGTATATAATATTTTAAGGAGATTGAATATTGAAATAAATTTAGTACTTATATATAAATTAATATTAAAGCTATTAACTTTATTTAAAACTCGACATATTTGGAAATGAATGATTAGCACGATTAAGTTCGTCATTAATTAAAGATAAATTCAATTAAATTTAGCTCTAATGAAACTACATATATATTTATATATATATATATATATAAATCCAATAAAATATAAATTGATATTAAAATTACGTTAAACTTAGAAAATAATAACTTGTGGAAAAAAAAAATAACAAAATACTTTTTGCGCACGTCAGCAAATATTAATATTAAATGAATGTATAAACTAAAGCAATATCTCAGAACACTGAATTAGAACGAGAAGTCGTGTTTTATACTTTACATTTTATTTATTCACGAATATTCACTCTCCCTTAAGATCTAAGAAAGGTATGGGCGTTTGTCTGACACTCGTATCTAATGTAACTTCAACGATATTAAGTATAGTAATAGTAGTAATAGTACAATTATCTGATAAAAAGAGTTTAGAGTATGGTTTGGTTTTTTTTTTCTTTCTTGAATTCTTTTTCTTTTCATTACCACCCTCCCCCCACACTCATTTTACAGTTTGGAAAATTGAGCTCTTTCGAAAATTTGGCAAGAGATTGATCTTTTTTGTTTTCATTTTTCATTTGTAATTTTTCTTTTTTTTTTTTTTTTGTATATTTTTATTCTTAAATCTTTCATCTCCATTTCCTTTTTTTTTCATCGTTTAGACGAACGTAAACAAGTTTTATTTAGTGACTAGGATACTTTGCCTTTGATCGACAAAATAAACAGCACGCATAGTTCGTGTTTTTTCTTTTGTTTTTTTTTTGTTTTTGTTTTTGGATTTGCGTACGTGCTGTATATGTGAAAAGTGCACGTGCTTCTCAAATGTTATTATAATCGTCGTTTACTTATAATTAATGTTCAACTAAATGTTGCTAATCCTATGGCGCTACGATGCTCTTTTCTTCTTCTTCTTCACTCTTCAATAAATATTACAATTATTTACAATCCGATGAGAAATTTTTTCACGCTATATTCACCTGTTTTTTTTGTTTTTTGTTTTGTTTTTTTTATTATCATTATTATTAATTTCTTATACCTACTCTGTATATTTTAATATTGCAATGGTAATGTTTTTTTTTTTTTTTTGCGAATTATATCGAAGATTAGATTCTAAAGTCATTCTGAAAATTACAATTATGATAGAACGTTTTCCTCGTCTTTCTCTCTGTCTAATTTCATTGTTTTTTTTTTTTTTTTTTTTTTTTTAATTTCATTTTTTGTTAACTTGGACAATTCTGTGTATTATTTGTTCCCGTTTGCGCGTGTTGCAGCAGNATTAGATTCTAAAGTCATTCTGAAAATTACAATTATGATAGAACGTTTTCCTCGTCTTTCTCTCTGTCTAATTTCATTGTTTTTTTTTTTTTTTTGTATTTTTTGTTTATTTTTGGAATGGCATTTTTTTACTCTTTTTTTTCTTTTTTGTTGTTGTTGTTGTTGTTGTTGTGTTAATTTGAAGAATCTGTGAAATAAGAAGGTACAGAATATATTAATTATGTTTGTTTGTTTGTTTGTTTTAAAACTCGTACATCTATGTTGAAAATTATCACACTTTACACATTTACTCGATGATATAATATAACTATTTACAAGTTTACTGAATTATTTGCGGAATATAAAGTCATCTACACAGATTCGTTGATAACTTATTATTATTATTTAAATCGTTTAATCTTTTATTTGTTTATTTATTTAGGTCTTTTTTTTTTTGTTCTAAATTTGTTAAACATCTTATAGGAAGACTCTGCGCTCCGCAGAAAATTCAATAGCTTAAGTATATATATATATTCTGTATATTTTTTGTGTTTCTGTTCCGCGTGTGTGTGTGTGTGTGTGTGTATGTATGTGATGTTTCTTTTTGTTTCTTGATTTCTTTTCTTTTCTTTAATATTATTAGAATTATTATTATTATTATTATTATTGTTATTAATAATCATTATTAATTATTATTACTATTACTACTTTACGAATTACAAATAAAAACACGTAAGAAAGATCTGCCCTTCCAATATTTCCACACAAAAGGCCATTTATATTTATTTATCCATTTAAGGTAAATAAATCTCAGAAGGCTATATAACATTTGAAATCCATTTTTGTTGTTGTCATGTTGAGATTTGCTGATACATCAGATTATTATTATTATTATTATTAGTTATTATTAATATTATTATTATTATTATTATTATTAATAATTATAATTTATTATTATTATTTATTTTTAACTTTGCACTAGTCGTATCAAAACTGAAAAAAGAACGTGCCATTGATGGGGGGACACGTTTGTGTATGTTGTGTGTGCTTCCGTTACATTTGTACTTAAAAAGTATATATATGTATATATATATATATATATATACTTTTTATATATTTATTTATATATTTATTCGCCTGAGTATTGGCAGTATATCGCGAATTATTTATTTAATAAAAATGTTCATTTGGGAGTGCGTTGTTGCTCGTAAAAATCTTCAGATTTATCATTCTGTGTGTGTCTGTTTGCTGTGTGTGTGTGTGTGTGTGTGTGTGTATTGTTAAATACAAATTTTTAAATATTAACGATAATAATAAATATACGTAAATATTTATCACTTCATAAGTTTTTCTTTTTGTTTTTCATTATCGTACAGTAATTTGATATTTACTATACGTATATACTATATATATATATATATATATATATACGTATTATATATTCGTTATAAGAATTTTTTCAGAATGATTCACAACAAATCAACACGGATTTCACATTATATGCCGCATAATACATTAAAAATATAAAAAAGATATAAAAAATTGTCCTTTTGGTATTTCCTTCACGTTAGATATCAACGTTTAACATTACGATGTATATATACATATAATATGTTGATTATATGTATATATATATATATATATATATACATATCAATCGATGTTAACGATAGAAATGTTTATAGAACGTAGTAAAATAAATGCACGTTCTCTTTTTCTATGTGATTAGAATATTAATTGTTTATTTTTCTTTTTCTATTAATCACGAGTTGAAAATAGCGATGATCAATTATTATATATACTCGGATTATTTTATATATTTGTATTTTTTTTCGTGGATTAGTAATTTTATCGAAGATTTCCATTGTTAACGTATTTCGGATTAAAAATAGGTAATAATGACTGTGAACGTATGAAAGGGACTAACGTAGAAGGATCGACCAATTTTCTCTGTACATGATATACAAATACAAAACTTTAGAGATATATATATATATAGCACGTCTCCGATGAAATTCCTAATATCAGAGACATGTTAGACCCTCCCGTCCCTTTTCCTTTCTTCTTCTTACATTTTTTCATTACTTTTCTTTTTCTTGGATCAACGAAGGGTTATCCGTTCAAACGCATATCTATGTAGGAACTCCACAAAACGAGGGTTTTTTTTATTCGAATTGTTTATCGAAGAAATTCCTAGCATTCTTAGACCGTATATATATATTCGTTTCTCACTTTTTTCGAACAATGACAAATTTTCTGTTGTCTCGTTATTCTTTTGGTATTATCGAATAAGTCGTTTAAAGTTCGGTTACAGCGTATAGATTAGGATCACTACCCTGTACTTGACTCAACGTAGCTACCGTTGGTTTTTCTTGTCTTCCATGTGCCCTATTATATGTACCGTACATATTAGGTACGGCATTATTTTGTGCTGTACCATTAAACTGGCTACGCGTGAAATTTCTATCCAACGTTCTCACTTGATCTTGCATTTGATCTTGTATACGAATGTTAGGCGCCTTGTTTCTCACCAACGATCGAAATTGATTCATATTAGTTTGCGATCGCGATTCGAACTCCCAACTAGGCTGATTCGCCGGATTCGGTGGTAACGGACGATTTTGATTCCACGCCGGTGTTGGGCCGCGTTTTAAATTGGCTAAATTTTTTGGATCCAACGTTTGAGTTTTTCTCGAATCTTGAAAGGTCGCCAAATGTGCGGGTCCATGAGAATTGTGAGACAGGGTGCCGGTAAAAGATGCCACGCTTGGCGTCCAAGGTGGTTCTCTACCTAAGATTTTATATATTCGATAGATTACTGTAATGTTATAATATAAATTTAAATACGACGAAAGGTATGAATTTATTATTTGTAGATTTTTTGTTTAAAAATTCGAGAAGGAAATTCAAGCTCACCAGACCCTGCGGGGGCGTGTCCTCAGTAGAAGTCACTAGATTCAAGAGTTTTGCATTGCTTGCTCAAAGTCGCGTACTGGCCAGGTTGATCTCCGAGTCCAGAACGGTGCTCAGTTCGTCCACCTGTCGACTGCTGATTATGCTGAGACGATTTGTGATCCCCGGCTCCTCCACTCCCGTTAACACCCCCACCTCTATAAACGGTAAACAAAAGAGAACAAAGTTGCAGCATTATCTTTCTCTTGGATCATTTCTTGTCACCTAACTTATATCAGATCGAATCGTTTAATCTATAAACAAAACAAACAAAAAAAACCTTCAAAAATGTCAATGTTAATATTGATGAAAATCAAACAGTTATGCGTGAATGATGTAAACAACAATCCGAGCGGTACTAATGAATTTAATATCGTTGAAACATTCGTCATTGAAACATCGAAACATTGTAATTCATACAAACATGTTCAAATATAATTAAGAGAGAGAGTAATAAGTAAAAAAAAAAAAAAAAAAGGAACATAACACCGAGAGCGCACACAGTTACCATGTCCAATTTAATCACGTTGTTTTAATGAAACAGTTGTTAATTCGAGGTAATGTGATTAAAAGATAAAATCGGTATTCACTATCCTGTGCACTGTAGTATGTTCTATGTAACAACGAAAGCGACATTCAGAAAAGGCGCAGCATAGTCTTGCGTTGTTAATCGTTAAAGCTTGGACATTTACTTTCTAACATTTTCTTATTAATAAATATACTGAGAAATATGTTATTATCATTTTTCTGTTTCTAGAAACTTGATAAAAAAAAACGTTGTTGTAGAAAATTCGTGTCCATGCTCTATTTTATAACACTGATGCTTTTAAAACTATTATTCTCTATAATATAATAATATCGAATAACAAATTCGTTCAAATAAACATCGCCGTAAAGCGATTTTGAAATGCACATTTGCCTAGAAAAAAGTTCAACATGTCATCAAATATCTATTCTAAGCAATCAGCAATGATGTCATTAGAAAAATGGTATATATATATATATATATGTATATTCCCGTGAAAATATTGAAACGCACCGACATAACGCCGCGGTGAAAGTCTTTGGATATTTCATTTGAAAGATCTCGTTTGATAAAAATACGAGTATGTAAGGAGAAAAAACATAAAAAAGTCTCATGCACAAACTTTAACATGCTCTCGTGCAGCTGACGTGCTCGAGCAGTCGCAGTAGCGTAGGACGGCGGGGGCGGCGTTAGCAAGAGAGGCTGCTTAATGGTATTATGGGTGCCATGAGCATTCGGATTAAGAGAAGGGGCTGTAGGCGGGTACGACCCTTGGCCACGAAGGGTCCTAGCTGCTATCGCTTGAGATGCTGCCGATGGTGGCAAATATGGATCTTGCTCATCCACTTGGTGGTAATCTCTTCTAGAACAAATCGTAACAGGCATCATATTTTGTTCATTTATTTATTACTGTTATTAATGAAATTTCATTCTTAAACTCACCGCTTACGGATATATATCCACGTGTGAGAATCAACCCATACCAATACAGTGAAAAATAGTCCGGCGGCTAAACTTGCAAGAAGCATGAAGGTAAGGCCGTATCTAAAAAACAAAAATATAATCCCAATGTAAAAAGATTATAGGACACGTTATGAAGAATAATTTTCAATAATTATGGATAGATTAAATTTAATGCTTACAATCCTAGGTGACATAAACTTTTAGCAGCATGAACGTATTGCTTGTGAAGTGGTTTACAGTCTAGTAACGTCGCTAGACCAGACATAAGTCTATCGACCGCGTTAACGTCGGTCAAGAGGCTACTCAACCTGGGCTTCAGTTGATCATGCTGTTCTTTTAAAAGTTCTGTCGCTAAGCGTGAAACAGTATTCAAGTTATGCCTCATATTTCCCGCAGCTCGTTGTCCGTCTCTTAGCCTCTGTGTAAATGGATTCGTGCGAGTGTTCTCGCAATGCGTGTAATACGAGAGTACCTCAGAGGCCAAAGTGGAGGGTACCGATCTAGTTAGATAACCGTCCGGTGACACGCAAAGATCACCGAGGGCGACTGATGTTGCTAAATAAAGGGAAGCCATCAGCCAAGAGACTATTACAGCGAATAGCCCAAATACAGAAAATCTGAAAACAATCAAATCATTCATTTGTCTTCATATTTTGTATTATTAAAAATAAATAAATATCTTTTAATTATATATTTTTTTTCTTTTTTAAGGAGGAATTTCTGAACACTTACGTTATTAGAACACATCTCGAGTGTCTAGCAACTCCGACTACAAGTACAACGCAGAGAACAAGAAGTGCACTCAGTACGGCCATAGTAATGGGCCACCTCAGTTGCTCGATTTTTTCTCCCATGCTAATGGCCCCTGCAAGACTGATCCCGCTCAATGGCTTGCGGATTTCGAAGCTCCGGTTGACAGCAATGCTCGTGTTTTGTTTCATACTAGTCAGTGCTGCCAACAGTAAGGTCAACATCGTTTTGTTGCTAACAGGTGCATCAAATTCGTCCCCCAAAGCAGTCAATTGTGGTTGTACTTTCTCTTGTAATGTTGCTTCTATGGTGTCCGTCTATATGTAAAAACAAACAAAAAAAGAAATAGAAGATATATATTTTCTATACGTATATATATATATATAATCTACTCATTTTATTATTTTATTAGTATTCTAAATTTAACTAGTCACGTTGAAAGAGTTGTTCGACTTTCTCCGCATTTAACTTAAAGGCCGGATCAAGATAGATTTTCAATTGATATCCGTTTCCAATAAATGACGTGTTTTATATTAAGCAACGCGAAAGAAACGCTGATCTTGCAGCATGCAACTGACATGAGAGAAAGAGAAAGAGAAAGAGTAAGAGAGACATTCGATAATCGTAATGACCTCAATACTCGGGATCTTAAACTCGGGCAGTACCACAAGAGCAGTTATAATTTACGATGACGGGATCCAAGTCCATCGAGTTTTCATTCCAAGATCGAACAACTCTTACAGAGAATGCTGCTAATGAATTTGGAATTGTTCGAACAATTCGATTACTGTTCATTTCATGAAAACTGATGATAATTTAGAATTGTTGCAGCGTTAAATGAATGAAAGAGAAGAGTTGATTATTATTGATAATTGCTGGTCGTTTTCCAAATCGAATATCTACTGCAGATTTTCAATCACTTTAGTATATAAATTGTATGCAAATGATTTATTAATTGACTGTATATTTTCTTGAATACTATTGTTACTATACATTTTGGATTTGAATTGTTTTATATAATATAATAACATATTATTATAATTATCATCAAATATTTTCTTGGTGTTTAGAATACAATAAATTCTCGTATAATTCAAGAATTTTTGTAACACGAATTTCTATAACACATTCAAAAATTCAATGTGGTTTAGTCGAGCATTAAAATTTTATTTTTATTTCTATTAATTTTCTTTTTGTTTACTAATTGTCGGTGTTATTATTTTTTTTACCAATATGTTACTAAAAAAATAGTTTGTTATAAAAAAAAAAGCGAATCTTTTTAATATTATATCTAATACATATATTATCACATAAACAAATTGTTAATTATATCAAAGAAAATATTTTGATAGCACACGATTGTTCTATAACAAGACTTTCCAAAAAAGAACCGTATAAAACGCTTTATACAAGAATTTACTTGTATATACCAGTAAATGGTATCCCTATTATAACTTTGAAGATTGTGAAATTTGTCCGAACAATTCCAACAATATCCGAACAATTCGAAACATCTTTGTGGTCTGATAGCAAACACAATATACATGGGATCCATTTGGAATGACAAGTTTTCGAGTGAGATAGTTTAGTTTATCGATCGAGAAAGGTCGAACCTGGTTTCTCACGCCCATGAGGATCCCATCGACGTTCTTCGCTGCCGCGACTAATTGTACCAAACCATTGTGAACGTCGTCGTTGCCATAAAGGCCAACGGCAACCGTTCCACAGCAAAGCAACGCAAGGATGGCCAGTGAAAACTTCAGCAGGGCTATCGACCTCCTGGGCCGAGGCTTCCGGTCGCAGCATCTTGTTACCAGATAAACCAACAGTACCAGCAATGTCAGGATCAACCAGGCTGCAGGAATACTACCGAGGATGCCCAAGCTCTGCAATTATCAACGATTATCATTAATACTTACTATCTATTTTTTTCTTCGTTTAGAAATTTATTAATTTTATTTAAAATCATTCAAAACAACTAAACAATATTGATGGACATTAAATTTTGATCTAATTGAATTTTGTTTGGTACAAACGTGTCGCACACATCTTGTTCTATAATTTTTGTTTGGTAGCTCGTATAATGCTTCACAATAATAATTAGCTTTAATTTAAGATATCATAGTAAATCTATTTTTTTGCTTACAAATTATACATTCGTTATTAATTTATATTTAAAAGCTGATGAAGTTTGTTAATTTTTGTATTACACAAATGTTTTTATACTCGTGACGAAAATTTAAGCTACAAAAGGTTACAATACATTCATTTGAAATAATTTACATTAATTAATAAGTAATTTTAAGAAACGATATATTTATTTAGTTACTTTTGTAAAATATAATATTTGCAAAAAAAATCGTGTTTAAATTAGCCGATTAAAATGTAGAGAAAAGAAAATAAATGAAAATGAGACGGGCAATGAAACCCGCATGTATGTAGTACCGTACGGTATACTTTAGCGAGTTTCAAAGGGTGGCTTGTTTAAGGGTGAGGTGAAAAAATATGTTGAAGCGGGATAAACAGTCCTCCTGGTGTTCCCAATTACCGCGACTCGGTGTCGCGTCGAGGGTGCTCAGACGTGTGGGGTCTCAGTCAGCTAGAGGCACGGCACCAGTAGGTACCACCACCTTTCTTGACTTGGTTTTCACCGTTCTCTATGGGAATCACAACCACGAAGGAACTTACCACCCCCCTTACTCATTCCCTATTGCAAAAGTAATGCATTCGCACGAAATTTTGCGTCTATTCGTATCCCCCTTTCGAATTTACTTGCCACCGTCGTCATCCTTGTCGTTGTCGTCGTCGTCATCATCACCCTTTTTTACCTAACACCAAGGATAGACGGGGGGAAAAAAAGAGAAAGGGAAAGAGTTAAACCGAGCTCGCTTTTTCAAGGACTACCTGCTACGAATATTCAAGTGGAACGTTAATTTCTCTGTCAAATTGTACCTTTTATTATTTAACTTGGTTTATTTTCTTTTTTTTTTTTTATAGTGGAAATTATCGATCAATTATTGTTTTTTTTTCTTTTATGTAATACTAAATCGAAAGTTATGTGGAATAAGATCAAGTAGTAGAAATTTGTAATATTTATTTTTTAAATATACAATTTTAATCGTATACAGTAAGACCGACCCTTGATATAACACGGTTGATATATATTACGGAAATAATTGAAAATAATTTACAATTAATTTATGAAAGAGTATATGTGGTGTTAGATATAAATATTGAGAAAATATTTCATTTTGGTTAATTATTTTTTTGGATGAAATATTGATCAAAAATAAAATAAAAAAAAAAATAAAAAAAAAGAAACCAATTACGAAAGTGAAATTTATAATGACGAAGAAACCTATGCAACGCTCAATTAATGCAAATTGAATTTTTGAAAGGGAGTAATTTCCGTATTTTATTATACAGCTCGTTTTAACGAGAATTCGCGTTATATGAAAATAATAATAATCGTAATAACTTTTTGATATTTTCTAAAAATTCATATTGTACGAATATATACGTTAAAGTCAACTGTATATTATAATTTATTATTTTTTATTCATCGTCATCGTCAAAGTCATTATTAATGTCAATAACATAACGAACGAGCAATTATTTTACAAAGTTGTATAATTCTTGACTACTTGAACGATCAATGATTATTTTAACAAATTATGTTAACCCAAAATGTATGTTTAAATATTAAAATTGTGTATTTAACATATACATATATGCATAATCTATTTATCAAGTAATTAAAAGAGTATTTGTAAATAAGAGAGGGTTGATTTTAAACATCAAACGCTTACTCGACAAAATACTGAAAACTCATTATAGTCAAACATCTCTGTATATACCTGTCCTGCATTATGGTTCCGGTCGTTGATGTCATTGCAAACAATAGGTCAGTTCGTTCCGAGACGTTGAGCTTTACGTGGACGTGTATGTACGTACGTAACATCATACATGTTATATTCTCACAGACTCCATTTCACTGATTGTGAGATATGAGTATTATTGTCTTACTAATAGAGACATAATATTTACTCAAATCAATCTTTTCTTTCACTATATTACATTATATTTTATTATTATACAATCATAATAAATTAATTGATTTAATATTACTTGGGCATAACAACACGTCACACTAATATGAATTCATAGTTATTGATATCAATATTTGTCGAATGTTCAATTGAAAATTATTAATTATTTTTATGCATTTTTTACTTTTTTTTTTACTAATTAGTTTTTTACAAATATCTTTTAACATCTGTAGATTAATATGAAAGATAGATGACTATCAAAAATCATGTTTCTTTTACTGTCTGATTGAAATCAACAACAAAGGATGATGATTTATATTCAGAAATTAATGTGTAAAATGTGTTTAATAAAAATACTTTTAATAGTATTGATGTAAGATTTTATATGTGTACGTGTATTAACGCTGTCGTCGATAAATTGAATGAACAAAATAATAAATAAAATAAGAACAATGTTAATTCGTAGAATTTAGGTCAAGTGATAGGTGTGATTGAAAGAAAATTAGTTTAGTGTATTAAAATTAATAAAATATTATATTTTGTAATATAAATCATCATTCTCTTTAACAGAAACAAAAATAATATCCAAGAAGACATTCAAATTTGATTTCCTGTAGAAGAGTTAAAAATGTGATAGCATGAGAATAAAAAAAAAAAAAAAGAAAAAGACATTTTGAGGGTGTCGAATGATGAGAGTAAGAGAAATAAAAGAAAAAGATAAAAAGGTGAAAAAAAAAAAAAAATATAAAAAGGTTGAAGAAGTAAATAGAAGAAGAAAAAGAAAGAAAAAATGCAAGTAGTATAAAAAAGGGAAAAAACGAACGAGTTAACTGGACGTCGCGGGTTGCAACTTGCAATGGCAGAATCTGCCATGGTGTGCAACTAGAAAGCACAATGGCCCGGGAAAATTCAAACAATGCACAAAGGCATCGCATAATGCGCCTAAGGGCAATGTGTGGGTTTAGCGGACAAGAAACGAACACCACTCGTTCTCCATTTCTATCTCCACCTTCAACTCTTCCTCTTACTCGTCGTCGTCATCGTCGTCGTTGTAGTCGTCGTTTCTAGAGCGGCCTCGTCAAATTTTCCGAGAATATATTTTCGTAGAAGAAACAAAAAAAAAAAAAAAAAGAAAAAAGAAATAGAAAGAATGAAAGAAAAACTTCAACACCACTACTCTAGAACCCGCCATTTTTCCATTTTTCCGAACTTGCTTTTTGCAATGAACTTGCACTTTGTGTGCATTATGTTCATTCACGTGTATAAGTAAATATATATAATAAATAAATAAATATGTATGTACATATTTATTATTTTATTATATTATTAGGGTGAAGCTAAAGTTTGTGAATTTTTAAAATTAATATTTTTAAAGTAAATTTTACAAAAACAATTCATTATGCAATTGATAACACTATAAATGTACCAATGTTTGATAACCCTTAATATATATTTATATTTATTTTTTTTATTGCTAATTTAAGGATTTATTATTTACAAAAGGTTATCCAAGTCTGTAAGTTCTGTAAGTTTTCAATAGATGGCGGTGTATTACAATTCAATTATTTTGATATATTCACGTCATACTTTTTTTCAGATTTACATATGACATAACCTAGCTTTTTCTATTTTTTTCGAGGATTATTATTTTATATATTTCATTTTGATTGTGGTATTATTTTGTGTGTTGTTAATTTAATACATAGGATAGTTTTTATCGCGTTTATTTTGTATTTTTTTTCGCTAATTTAAGGATTTATTATTTAAAAGGTTATCTAAGTCTATAAGTTCTGTAAGTTTTCAATAGATGACGTTGTAATACAATTCAATTATTTAGATCATTTGCATATGACATAATTAACCTTACTTTGTATATTTTTTTTCCCTGTATTATTACAGCAACGCTGGAAGATTCTAGTATTAATTATAAATTGATAGGAAGATATTGAAATATGTATTCATAAAGGAAAAGAAAAATAATCCTCGATATTTCTCAAATAAATGCATTTTTCTCTTCATCCTCGATAACAAATGACTTATCGGCATATACGTACATAGTACATACGTATACAGCAGATATATGAGAGGATGAATTGGAATAATCGAACTTGTCTCATCGAATTGACATGACGAAACTGACATCGTTATCGACATTTTCCTCGTTTTATTACAAAAGACGCTCGAGTCTTTCAAATTCGAAAATTAGGGAATTGCTCGAAGCGATCGTGAATGTTCGAAAAAGTAGAAACAATTCGAAAGTAGGTCTCTTGTATCGGATTTACGTACACCCTTTTATTCCCTCACCTCTTTACAGAAGTATGCACGTATATAAGTCATTTTTTTTCTGAATGTGGTATAAGTCTAATTTTGCAAAAAAAAAAAAAAAAAATAGGTTAAGATCGGTTCTAATTGAGCATGGATGACGATTGTTATGTTGATATTATTAATAACGAAGAGTCTCAGTAGAGTATATATAAAATATAATTATGAATTAATTAAACAAAAATTTTACTATAAAATATTAATGTTATACAATATTTAAATTTTATTATTGAGTATTGTATCCATTTGAAATCAAAAAAAAAAAACGATTTTATTAATTATTATTATTATTATTATTATTACATAATAAAAGTGAATAAGTTTATATTTTTGAGACGATATTTAAATTTGTCAATATTTTTCAAATAAGCTTATATTATTTAAAAAAAAAAGTAATAATTTATACAGTGTATTTGAGATATAAGTAAACGTAAGAAAAGCAAACGAGTTTTTTCGTAACTAATAATAATGATAAATTTTATTAAAAAAAGAAAAAAAAAAAGATGATCTAACCTCAAGATAAATCTCGGAATGTGGATTAAACGTGTTGTTGACCGAATGAAGAGACACGTTAAGATGTGGTAGACTGTGGAAGACCCTTGCCAATTGTGGTACTGTATATTGTTCGGGAAGCTGCTGACCACCCGCCATTTTGGAGAACCCTTGACTGAAACCCCAAAAACCCCGTTGAAGAACTTCTCCTTCTCGTCAAGACATGCTACGATGTACCTGTAATCATAAATGGAAGATTTAAAGTTATTCAAAGTTATTTTTCAAAGTAAAAAAAAAAAAAAAATTGAGAATAGAAAGAAAGAAAGAAAGAAAGAAAGAAAGAGGTAAATTATATTAACGATGGAAAAGGTAAAAGAGAAAGTAATTTAGGTAGAAGAGTGTTTAATATCGAGGCAAGTTTTCGATATCATTTAATCTCTGTCGGATGCTGCTTCGACAGAGACTGGGGATGATGGCCTAAAACGCTTCATCGAACCGATTCAATTACGATCGAAACGCTATTGTAAAAGCAACGAGTATTTAACTAATGAAATTGCTGCCAGGTGTGTTATCCCTCTGTTACGTGCCGATCAATCAACGATACTTTTATTTCTTTTTTTTTTTTTTTTTTATTCGTTTAATAGTTTTCAATGTTTAATAATATTGAAAGGCAATTGAATTTCTTCTTTGGTTTATTTATTTATTTATTTATTTTTTTTTTTTTTAATATTCAACGTTTCGTAACAATGTTTACAGTAAATTATCGATTAATTTTTTTTTTTTTTTTTTACTATTAATCAATTTTTATTCCCATGTATAAAGGTTTGGTATATTTAATAATGGATAGTTTGAAAAGTTTTGAACCTAACCTATAAACAATTTGTTTTCGATTAAATTCACTGTTATTTCTTCGACGTAATTTTTGAGTTTTGAACAAAAAAAAAACAAAAGAATAAGCTCCAAATTTTTCAATCACAATCGTCGTATATATTTAATTGTTTAATACTATATTTACATACTATACTTTTATATAATTGTACTATGTATAAGATTATATGGCAATTGAAAATATTAATAGTTAATAATTTTCAATACAGCAAATAAAATAATATTTGAAAGATTATGTTTAAACGTATAAATAATGAATAAAAAAAAAAAAAACTATTAAAAAATAATAAAACGAATAGTAAAGTGATAACAAATAATAGAAACGTTATATTTTACAGTTTTTTTTTAGGTTGATTCATTTAAATATGGCCACCTAAATATGTCTTCGGTTTATTACGATAGAAAAAATATTTTTGCCAGATGTTACCATGCCTTGACATCATGTACATTAAGTTTAAAAAAAATATTATTTGCATCCTAATAAACTGAAAAAAAAAAAAAACATTTAAGTGATACAACGATTAACGCGTATTTAGGGTAATGTATAAATGAATCGATCCAGTAGCCATTGCGATTAAATCTAAGAAACAAAAAATATTATACAAATGAATGTTTAGTAATACATTCGTTTTTATAATTTTGGTGTTTTTATTTGATGAAAAAAAAATTATAGAAAATTTTTTTTTTTTATTTGTTTCAATTTGATGAACAAATTTGGTCAAAACAAAATAGGATGCTATGTACGTGATGTGCAAATAAAACTGTAAATATTTATCGATAAAATTGCAGCATCTAACCACAATGACTTTCATCTTTTAGCAACTGTAAAAGATTAAAAAAAAAAAAAAAACACATAAAATGAAACAACGATTATAAATTATTGAATAATTAAAATAAATATTATTTAATTGTATAAAAATTTAGAAAATATCCAAAAATATTAACAGCAACGACAAAAATGATTCAAAAATTTTGGAGTTTTCTCTTTTTTGACAATTTTTTTCCCAAATTTGAAGTTTTCTAAAATGATTGAAATAATGAAAAATTAGGTCAATTTTAAATGCAATTGTAAAGTAGTAATAATAAAAATTCGTGATAAATATTGCAATCAATGGAGGACAATCTGTTAAAACTAGTTAAACGATAACAAACAATATCCATGCCGTGGCTTTTATAATAGTAGCATTATTTATTTCAACAATGTTTTATTTTTTTTTCTCTCATACATTTTCATGACTCATTAAAAGTTGGCAAGACTGGTGGTGATGGTGGTGGTAGTGATACGTGTGCCCTTTGCATATAACATCGACAACATGTAGTTCCGACTCTTTGTCACGTGAAAATACCAACCAGGCAGTCGTTTAAAGGAGTCGACCGTTCGTTCTCATAAATAAAAAGAGCTCGAAAAAAAAAAAAAGAAAAAGAATGAGAGACAGAGACAGAGAGAGAGAGAGAGAGAGAGAGAGAGAGAGAGAGAAAAAAGAAAAAGGTCCCTTCTGTATTTCTCTTTTCTGTACTCTAAACTTACGGCAAGCGTGAGAACAGTGGGTCAACGATGCCTACACTTCCTTTCTTTGAAATTGTCGTCAAATTTACATGAACAAAAATTTCGACGAGATATAAAAGAGATTAAATATATATTTCTATTTTTTATTTATTTGATAATTTTATTATTTTTCTAATCAATTTATCATACATTCCTCGATAATGTTCTTTATCTTTATTATCATTAGAATTTTGTTGTATTTTGTTGAATAGATGATATTTATCACATGTAATTTTATTATAACTTGTTGATTTCTTGCTTTTTTTTTTTTTTTAAATTAATTATAAAAATTAATTTTACTTATAATTTTTCATACGTATAATTTTCTTTATTTTTTTTTTTTTTTTATATTCTATAAATTATCAGACAAACTGTTTGACACTTTTTTTTTTGGTATCTTAATTTGATATTAATATCAAGATAATAGTATTAGAAAAATTTAAACTAGCAATTAAAAAAAAAAAAAGGTTAATAATTTAATTTATGTTATAATTAACCCTTAGAGTGCTATGGACACATATATGCGTTTGTTAAAAATTACCAGAGTGATCTATCGACACATATACATGTTTGTTAACACTTTAATGGTCGCACGTTTATGCATAATGACGCCAGGGGTTAGTAATATTTTTGTAAAAATTATATTTAGAAAAACTTTATTAAATTCACGAGAAAAATTAACATAAAAAAAAAACAAAACAAAAAATAAAACAACAACAAATGTAATTTGATATATATTTTTAAATATATAAAAAGTTATAAATAAATAACGGCCAATAACAATTGTTCCTGCTATCTCACACACATGTTGTGTGAGCAGCCATTAAAAAGTGTATTAATATTAATATAAAATATAATCTAATGTTTAGATTAATTAATTAAATAATATTCAGAAAGAAAAATGTTTCATTAACAAATAATATAATTTATTATTAGAGAATCTAGTTAATAATAAATTATTTCGTTTTAATAAAAACATTTCAGTTTAAAAAAAAAAAAAGAAAGTATTCACCATTCAACGGGTTAATATTAATATTTATTATTAATTAATAAATTATTTATTATAATGTAATATTATATCATCTATCGAGGAAAATAGCATTTTGAATTTAAAGAGAGCAAGAGAGAGATAATATATTATTAATAAAATTAATTTTAACAAAATGATTAGATTAAATTTGACGTTGTCTTTAATACAAAGTATTAAAGTAAATTTCAAGTGACACATTGTTTTTTCTGTTTTTTTTTTTTTTCTGTTCGGAATTAGGCGACTCATTGAACAATACAGTTACTATCGTTCTTAGCCAAGTTTCTTTTTACGATAAGCTTGGTTGAAATCGATTTGATTATGCTGATCATGGAAAACGATTCTTTCCTTCCTTCCCTTTCTTTCTTTTATGACTAGCATACTTTTTCTTTAATGGACCCAAGCTCATGTAATAAACGTTGCTAACGTCAGAGCAAGTGTTTGGAGAACGATCTACTATATTTGTCTTTTCTTTTCTTTTCTCTTTTTTTTCTTTTTCTCTTTCTTTTTCTTTTTCTTGTTCTTTTTTTAGTCAAAGTAACTTCTTGGAAGAACCCTTTTTTCGAAGTAGATTTTCACGAGAATAAAAAAAATTAAACTTTACCAATAAGAAATAACGCGAATGTGTTCGTCAACGTGTTCGTAACAAATGTTTAATGTTCAAAAAATAAAACTTCAGAAGTTAATCATTATTTTGGAAAAAAAAAATCATTAAAGATGTATTGTCATATGTTTTTGATAACTTTTTCGAATGGTGTGTAACATTCAAGTTTTTTTTTTTTTTTATATAATTATAATTCAAATGAATAACATTAACAAGTTGTTTAAACTAATCAAATGAATTATATAAAAGATATTAAAAAAAAAAAAAAAAAAAACTTTATATTAAAAACTTGTTAATACATTATTTTTACATTTTCATTTCAATGAAATATTATCGAGTTAATAAATATCCGTAATGATTCATTTTAATTGATACGTAAAACCATCATATTTACAGATTCAAATTTTCCTCGTAATATATTCGATTAAAAACACTTATTCATACACACACACATCCATTGTGAACATAAACAAGCCAGTTATTTAAATAAAAAAAAAAAAGCTGATAAAAAAACAAACCATCACAAATTATGTATAATTGCATATAATATGTTACTGTAAAGATCAAAGCTCAGCATTGTACCTTTCAATTACTTCAAATTAAATCACTTCGCGTTAATTCGTTAAAAAGACTTACATATGTAATTGAAGAGAAGAAGGATAACGTTTACATTAATCATCACTGATTAAATGAGATACATGAATGACAAGAACAATCTGGATAGTTTCGTTCACCCTTACTTAATGAAAATGATGATCAAAACGTTTACTGTTATAATTGTCAAGTTTAAATGACAGAAAAGAAAAAAAAAAAGATAAACGAAGATAAATTTAACCAACCAAATAACTCGGATATCTTTGTTATTGTTTTATCGTATTTTATTTTGTTCATGTAACAGAAAATTACGTCGCCATCTTATCGGTATTCTAACGACGATTAGTCATGGAAAACTTTATTTAACACGTGTTTAGTTAGAAAACTTATAATTATTTGTAAAAATGTGATAAAGATATATTCTATGAAGGTATAAAAAAGTATTCGATGAGATTATAGTATAAATTGATGATAAAATATTTTCCATTTCAATAGAAATGAATGAACGAACGAACGAACGAATGAAACGAAACGAAACGAAACGAAACTGAACAAAAAAAAAAACTTCCCTCGTGATG